GTGAAATCAGTTTTTTTTTTTTTTTTTTTTTCCAGTTCAGTCGAGTTTTGCCTTGAGGGGGCTCAACAATAGTCCTAGCCACAAAAGGCAGGTGCAGAAAAAAAAAAATGTCATTCTAGCAACTTCATTAGAAAATATCAAACATCTCTGACTAAACACAAATGCTTCAAAAACCAAAGCCAACCACATCGCCCCAAGGTGGTACACTCAAAGTGGGCCACTGAACGTGGTGCCTAAGGCATACTGACGCTAAACACACTCAGCATTAAAACTAAGATTCCACTCACAGATTATGGGTTAGTTTTAAATAAATAATGGATGTGGCTTCGGATGAAAGCGCTATGTATCTGCAGCCCATTAAACCCCCCCCCCACTGCTGCTAAACCCTAATGTCAGATGAACATGATTGCATAAATGTGCTGGGGAAATTTAAATGTCATCAAGGCATTTAAATTAATAGCTGTGGATAATGTTTAATGTTGTGCTGGACATTTTCTCTCTAAACTGAAACACGAAGCTATCCTTTTGTACACTGCAGCTGAGTATTTAGACTAGACTAGAGTCTTATTTATTCATCAGCACAATAGCAAACAATAATACTGTAAAGAAAGCGGAGGTAACATTAAAGTGCAACCAGGTCTTAAACAACAATCCTGCAGTTTTACCGTCATAAACACTGTAATGTACAGTTTGCATCGCTCTTTATCTGTCACTATTTTTGATTTGACGGTAAAAAAAAATACAGCAAAATTTTAAAACTATTTAACCCTGTGGTTCCACTCTACTTACTTCATTTCAATCCTATTATGGCCAAGTTTGATTAGAACGGGATTTAGTCCTTTTGATTTTTTACAACTTCAAAAATACAATGACGTTTCCAGTAAATGTAATTATTCTCACCGCTGTCCTTCAGGCCGTTCTCCTCTATGGTCATTTGCTCCGCGAGTTCGGAGAGTGACTCGTCAATGGTGTGGCTGCCTCGTAGCGTCTGGGACAAACGTCGTTTGAAACGCTTCATCTTCTCCATGGAGCTCTCAGGAAGGGGAGGCCTGGAGGTGGCACAGAGAAATGACAGGAACATTACATGCATGCACTTGTTTTAGTGACACAAGAATAGGTTGTGTGACACCGAGTGAAGAGTCTGTTGAGTAAACCGTCTTTCATTGACAAGAAAACACTCAGCACGCGCCCGTTTCGCAACGCCGCATTCAGAGCCAAACTGCGGCTAATGACACACGCCAGATCAACAGGTCCATCATCAGGTGAACAAAGACTCCCAGACATTTGCAATCTGGTGGCAAGTATGACACGTCTCATTCAAACTCACAGCTTAGCATGCTTACCCCGGGGGAAAAGACGACAAGTTGGTGAGAGATTCTTAGCGTCCGGTTTTAAATACAATCCCTGCTCACATCAGACTGTAAAAACAGATGCTAAACCAGAGGATTTGTTGCTGAATGGGACAGGACTAGCCTGAGGCCAAATTAAACCCATGTCACACATTCCAGCTGCGTTCAACGCAAAAACATGCTTGACTTAGTGTAAAAGATAAAGGCACCATGTCAGACGAGAAATATTAGCATGAAATCAGGAGCGGAGATATTTGGTAATTGTATTAAAGAACACAGTCTGAGCTGCGTTTCTCCGTGACCTCAGCGCTGGGATCGTCGCTCCATTCAATGCGAGTCTAGACGTGAGCTCGTCTTCTCCTGATGACGGTGCTAATAATGATGATGAGTAAAAGCAGACACGAAAACACATGAGCAGTTCAATCCCCCCCCGGGGTTCATCACTGACATGCCCACATAAAAAAATATATCACTCATCACCCGTATTAGGGCCAGTGACGCATCAACTCAGACAGAAGCAGAAGATATGAGATCAGGGAAGAGGGGAACTCGTGGTAGAGTCCAGATAACAACTGCAGCAGTGTTTATCAGATTTTATAGCCCTAATAGAAAAACCTCTACTGAAAGCAAATCAAATAGTTTTCCAAGTATCAAAAAACGGGTAAGAACATTCAAAGAGACGCACTTGACGAGGTACAAAATACAAATATCACATGTAGATAACTCAATTAGGTGAGATGTGTTTAAAGAACAAAACTTCCAGATTACAGACCAGGAAACACTTCCCTGATGCCAGACGGAAGTCTGCTAATGACAACATAGAACCAGATGACACATGCTGGAAGAACAGCACTGGGTCAGATAGGATACAACTTGATAAAAACTCCTATTTGGCTTCAAGGAGCCATATAAATATGACAACATTTACTCAGCAGATTAACACCCTGTCCTCAAATGTAGCCCTTGAGCAATTTAAAAGTTTGGAACTGGTTTAAAAATAAGGGTTTTTTTTGCAGCGTCTTGAGCCCGGACAGCAGCAGCCCTTCTGGACTGGGCATAAAGCCAACACAAACTGGGACAGCGTGATAACAAAATGCTGCAGACTGCAGATGGGAGGCCTTTAAGTGACATAGAAAACTTATATCGAAAATATTACAAATGCGTTCACAGCTTGAGCTTGATTTGTCGAGCTTCATCAAAAGCGCAGAAGTGAAACAAATTCGTAACCAACCAAACGTGTTGAATTTTACTAGGTTGACTGGTTTAGGCGGATTAAGTAAAGGCCACGTCTTAAAAAAAAAAAAAAAAAAAAATAGCAACATCATTGATGAAATGATGTTATGATGTTATGTAAGAGGTGAGACCTCACTACCTCTTTACATGGTAATATTGCTGAATCATCGAAATGAAAAAAAAAAAAGTATTCGCACGTTTGTGATAAGCGATCACATTGTATGTCAGTTGCAAAAGATATGGTGTCCTTCAAAGGGTACTAATGAAGTATATATATATATATATATATGTATATATGTATATGTGTGTATATATATGTGTGTATATATATATATATATATATGTATATATGTGTATATATATATATATGTGTGTATATATGTGTGTATATATATATATATATATATATACATACATACATAAAATGTTCGTCAGAATTTTAAATCTAATAATCAAACAGCCTGGAGACTCAAAGTACTAGTACTATGAACAATCGCTTCCACACACATATTTCTCCCACCCGAAAAGTAATACATCGATTCAAGTTACATCAACTCGGACAAGTTATGATTCTCGAGTATGAGCCACAGGAGTACCCCCAGTGTACAATCTGTCTACTGGTACACGTACTAATGCAAATACTGTATCTGCCTCTACATATGAGAGAGATGAGAAGATCTTTAGTACTGGTTACCACAGTGAACAGAGATATTTGGGATCCAAGTTGACTTTCTGAAAAAATGTTCAAATTTTTATTTTATCCAGGTTTCTGGTCTGGGATCAAGTGTGAAGTTTTGGACAGTCAGGCTTTTCTGACATCACAGCTCCAAATGCAACTGGAAAACTAAGAGGCAAAGTTGATGGGTCGAGCACGACTCCGATCCCGGGTGTGTTACCATGGCAACGCACAGCAGGAGCCGACGTGCATGCTGATGTTCGACTGCTCTCTCCATCTCGCATCCTATAGACGGCTGGTTCAGATCTTCCCTCCTGAACCGGCCGTCAATCCCAACCGCACCACGACTCTCGCACCACAGATTGACCCTGACATCAGACGGACTGTGCTTCACCGTTAGTTTTCCACCTCCTATTACCTGTCCGTACAGTAAGCAGTACAATCACCGAGATGTGAATGTGAGGGAAACAATACAGAGTGTGTGTAGAGGCGCGGGGGCGGGGGGGGAGCTTTTATGCTGCAGTGGTGACAATAGCCATATGCATCGTATGGATTTATTCTTTCCCGGCTGCAGCAGCCAGGAAATCATGAATGAGGCCAAAAAAAAAAAAAAAAAAAAAAAAGAGCTGATAAAAGGGTAGATCATGATCGCTGCTGCCAGGACCACAACCCCCAAAGAAAACCAATACAATGGAGGACTAATATCCTACAAGCTAGATCACGGCACATTTGTGTTAATATTGGCAATAAGACAAAGCCTAACTCCACATGCCCCCTAACAAGTTACAATATTATATATATATTTTTAAATCAATAAATAATCGTTAATAATAATTTTTGCCATAATCAAGAAGCCCTAACCCCAGCGTTACCCTGCCTGTGTCAGCGCGTTTCAGAGGACAAGGTCTAACCAAGAAAACTCTCACTCTCACTCCGTCCCTCTCCCCCCACACACACTCACAGAAGACAGCGGGCAACAAGGATGACTATTGGCAGGAACCACGGATGAGCTCAGCCTTGCTGTTTGTAAAGAGCAGCCTTTTCTCATCCACGGCAAGACAATGAGGACATGAGTGAAGGAGCTGGCTCCATTATGGGAGCCTAACATAAAGGCCGCATTGTGCAGAGTGTGAAGTTCTTTTTTTTTTCTTTCTTTTCAGGAGACGCAGGCGGGAGTGTTTCACTGTGAGGTGCCGAGATGAGCAGCGCTGAGCCGGGCAACCACACCTGTGTCAAGGACAGGTCAACGGACCGGCTGGTAGTATTTGTTACTTTGCCCCCTTTCACGTCAACTTCCTCTGCTCGTTCTCCATTCGTATTCTGCACACATGTCCACGGAGCCTGGAGGCCGAGTGGTGATGACGATGACAGAATTTACATAGCATGTAGGTGTGTTTCCTGACTGAGCTTTCCTTGGCCTGAGCCGGTCACTGAAGAAGACCAGACCAGAGAGTCTGACGTGCAGGAACAGATCTTAGAGTAAGTAGGAACACAGGCTGATTAACGCTGCTGCTATGGTGACAGTGGCCTGAGTGACAGGCCAGCTCTTCTCTAAGCTGCCATCTTTGGAATCGCTGCACTGTTCTGAGACAGTAAGATTTAACAACTAAACAACAACCAAAAGTAGGTCAGTTCATTAAATAGTACATCAAATCTATGCTACTACTACTACTACTTCATACTACTAGTATTTCACTGTGTTGTGTGACCTGAAATTCTTGGATAAGGAAATGCTTTGGAGGCGTCTTTAATAATATGCAATAAAAAAAACCCAGTTAATTTTGATCCTGTTTAGAGTAAAATAGACAATATTGCAGATCAAATTATAGCACCTAGGGAGAACATGTGTTTTTTGGTGTCTGTCTGACTTGAGACAATGTCCTAAGTTTTATTTATTTACTTAAGTAAATTAAATACTCAGCAACTTAAGTTGGTGAGTATTTTGCAACAAATCTGTTTGCTTTTTTGCCTTTGAATGACGCCAACTACACCAAATGAGAGGGAGCCTCAGCAAACAAAAGACACAGCACTTCAAGGGAACAACATCAAATATACGTGAGTGCAGTTTCTCTGTAGACCATTGTTTAAGCAGTAAATTAAGCTTAAGCAGCAACAAAGAAAAGCTGCACAACCAGCTGCAGCTCCTTAAAGGTCTGGCGTTTTATGTAGCACTACCAGCAGAATGAATCCCTGAATTATGTTAATGGGCTACGGGAAGTATGTGGTGCTGTGTTCATCAAAATGCATAATACCCTCTTTGGATGGAGTGGGAATGCTCCTCAAAAGATGCTGGTGGAGGTGGCTGCTTAAATCCACAGAAGAAGAATACAGGAGGAGACAGGTTTATGTCATTACTGAATTTAAAAAAAAAAAAAGAGTAACGAATAAAACAACTTACTTGATAATAGACTGTAAAAAAAAAAAAAAACATCATAAAACCACATTCAACACAGGAACCAAAGACTGATTCTTGCAGGCTGCACAATGTCATACATTCATCACAGGAACCAAAGTCTGATTCTTGCAGGCTGCACAATGTCATTTTTAAACATAATTAATTTGCCACAGCAGTGTTTGGTGTAAACATTACAGTAGATGCATCTGTTTGATCAACAAGGAAGATATGTGGAAATGCAGGTCTGGTTTGATTCTAGTTTGTTTTTCAACCACAGAATGATGTCAAACTTGTTACACTTTGAATTCAGTTAAAAAAACTAATGTCATCAATAAGAAAGTTGATGGGATTTTTTTTCCTAAAGGTTGAACGAGTTTACACTCTCAGTTTTAGAACTGACCTAGTTAGATCACAGATCTAGTGCAAACCTTCACCAAAGGTGTTGGTTCTTGGTACATTGTCAATCATAAATTACCTTATGTCTAGTAGAAAATGTAGGTTACAAAATTTAGTTACCCCTAGTAGGCCAAAATCCAAAGACAAGTTCGACTAAATCACATCATTTCTTTTAGTCATGACAAAAACATTTATATAATCCTTTACCATGAAGAAAAAAATCACTAGTAACACAAAAGTATACCTTATAGAATATGACATCAAAAATCCTATCTTTACTTTTACACAGAAGCAGGTGTGTCAACTAATGTATCTGCGTATGTAATCGTTGGGGAAAGACAGCAAACACTTGACTGGATAAATATTAAGGACAGACAAATGTTATCTCAGCTCCCGCAAAAAGCCGAGAGTGACGAAAAAAGTCTGAATAGCTGTCCCTGTTCTAAACAGTAATGCAACAGGAGAGGCTGATATGAGGGGATATTAACGTGTAACTCAATCAAAAAAAAGGTTCTCAGCCAGTTGGCTCCAGAATTCTCGGGGTGTTGGTACCAACATACCAGGCGTTTCCTCACTCAGACAAAATAGAGGACGGCGGAGTGAAAGCGGCAGCATTTGTCTTGTGGGGCGACGGCCCATGAGATAACTGGGCTGCTTGGCGGTGCCAGAATTCTTGTGTTAATGCAGCGGAGAAAAGAGGAAGAGTTGGTATTCTAGGCTATCTATAGACAGGAGTGGTGCCTGTGACTTCGCAGCTGCTCCCCAGGGTGTGGTGACACATTAACCTTCAGCCAGTTGTCTTGGCCTGCTGCGTCAAACTGAACAACCTCAATCTAAACACACTTGTGAACTCAGGAAACACAAACTAGAGACAGAGAGACTTTCCTCTGTGTGCACCATCACGTGTGAAGTTCTGAAGAAAAACACACAAAAATGTGTTTACCCACACACAGATATCCGCATGCGCCCATACACAGACCGGACCATCATCTGATCCACCCAGGGACTCGAGGGATCAGCACCACATTGCTACAGCTGTTCCTCAGCAGGTCAGGTTACCCTGATACCACCATCCCCAAGGCCTTCACCAAGGGAACGAGACCCACTGCAAACCAACACACGGTCGCTCTCTCCACCCGACCCGAGCAACGCCGTCAACTGGCCGCTCATCCGCGGTATTTCGAAGCGATGAGTATTTTAAACCTCGTAGCGACACACCTTCTGCAGCACACATCTTGCTTGAGTGGAGCACGTGAGCTTGTGCTCGCCCAAGTTAGAGCTGCTCACAGGATCCAGGACCAAGATCTGACAGCTGATAACCAGGGTTTACCACCAACAAGGGTGATCATGCCATTTCTGCAACAGTAACAATAAAATAAAAAGATTTCATAAATCGTAAGGTTTTCAATCATTAAACCGGTCAAAATAGTAGAGAAATAAGCATCCGACTGTAAACAAAAGTGTCCAGAAGTGAAACTGTGGAAGAGCTGGAATTAAAAAAAAAAAAAAAAAAAAAATCACCCCCTGCTGGAGAGGAAGTTCCATTAGGGATTACAGAGTTCTCAGCATTCAGCTTCAAGAATGAACAGTAATGTATAACCTACCACAGCAGATTATTACAAAACGTCTGCCTACAAACAAGGAGTTTGTTTCGAAGGACACCATGGACCACTGGACCGACAGGGACGAAAGACAAAAACAAAAAAACATCCTGTGACACGTAAACACACAGTGTCTTGCAATGTCAGAAGCTTAATGTTTATTTCCCCCCTACACGCTAGAAAAACAATTTGCGTATTTTGTTGCAGTAGCAACTGCTGCAGAGCAAACACATGGGGCCATTGTGAGCACTGTCAGCTGCTTGTCAAACACACCATAACCAAAGAGTACTCATTTGAAAAACAAAAACATAAAGCATGTACGCAAAACACTTCATGAAAAAGTCGTTGTAAGTCACTAACTCTATGCTGGGTCAATTAGCTGCAACTAAAACAAAAACAAAAGGAGGTACGTATTAATTGCAGGGGCTGGAGTTAATAAACAGATGAGAAAAAAATAATAATTCGATTGATTACGTCTGCTGTAAAACATCATCTACTCTGTTTAAGCATGCCAAATATTTGTTGGTGACCTCATTAAATCACATCAAAATTGAGAATCACAAAGACATACGTTTCAAAATTGTAGTTCCTCTCGAAGAAGAAGAAGAAGAATGGCTGGACTGTTAGCAGTGTAGCACTAAAGGTAAAAAAAAAAAAAAAAAGTAAATAAATGGACTGGAGTCATGGCTTACTCAAGTATACACAACCACAGTTGATGGTGTAAATATTGTGAGAGATGTGGCACTGCATGACTGAACAGTTTCTTCAGCCACAGGCTATTGCTAATGCTGAGTTATAACCTTAAACACCGGAGGATATATTTGCAACATATACTGTAACTGTCCAGGTTTGAATTCATGAGACTTTTAGTCCATATTTCTCCACTTTAACCACCCCCCCATGCTGTAGCAGTCTGGTGTAAATGTGGGGAAACAAAGCGTTCGTCACCTTTACTGTAAAGTGGGACAGACAACAGTCCAATTAACTGGCTCACTTGCGACGCAGTTTTAATTCGAATTCAATGTACTGATTTGGTGGGTGCCCTATCCTGACCACAAGTGTTGAAAAGACAAGGCTTTTCACACCTGTACTTCTTAGTAAATATTTAAGAAACATGCATTATCATTGTACTTATAAATAACTATCTTTTTAAATTATGACGGGATTAAATGACAATTTTCACACACTGAAAAAAAAAAACAACTAAATGTTTGCAGTGTGAAGTCATGTTTGATTGATTCATTGAAAGCTGGGATTCCTCGAAACTCTTCGGAGTCCGTGCTTGTCTTCCTTTAGTTCCCTATACTGTTAACATGCAGCTGAGAGAAGAATTCACAGCTGTTAATTCACTGTTGTTTCACTTGTGTTTCAAGTTGCTATTGGGGGGGGGAAATGTGGACCAGAAAGACAGGACAATCTAAAATGTGGGTCATCGAGTGTTTTGGTAGCAACTATGCAAGACGAAACACGCTGAGCCCTCCTTCTATTCTACAACAACACAGTGTGGTGCAGTTCGATATCAACCAGTCCACTGTAGCGTCTCTCTGTCGGACGTTAAACGACAAATATCTACCGTCGGTGAACTAGCGTCTGTCTGAAGTTGCTTTGCCTGAGGGCACCGTGTAACTAACCTCGCTGGTTTTGTCGGTTAACCGCTTCTATCGGTAACTAGTGAATGGGACAATTATTCGGCCGCATTCACACCGAGGACTGTGGAGTAAACACGCAGAGCTGGTGCTGGTTTGAATGTTTATGGAGTCCTCTCCGTGTCACGGTGGTGATTAAAGCAGTCCCCTCTGTTTCCCTGCGGTAGATTCAGTCTTAGCTACGCCGAAAATGGAAGAGCTCTTACCAGAAACGATGAGCGTTGTTGCTCCGAACGGGCTCCCCGACCTCGGAGCTTCTTCTCAGACCGGATGCCGTCTTTCTCTCGGAGTGTTGAACACAGAAAATAAGAACCGACCTCCCTTCTTCTTCCTTCCCCTTACCCCCACTGCTTTGTGGCGCCTCGGGGGTAGTGTTCGCGACTTTTCGTCCTCTGACTCGCTTATGTCCGCGGTGTTGTATCGTCCAGAAGCATGACTCCCGTCCAGGCTTTAAAGTTAAAACCCCGGGAGTAAAAAAACAAACGCGGCTGGTCGACTGTGTCTATGTATGTGTTCAGCGCAGGGACCAGTCAGTGGCAGCAGCAGTGAGAGTGAGACGACCGTCGTTGATGAGTGGTTTGATCTGTGTGTCCTCTGCTCTACTCTACCACCAGAATTATCATTTCAACATAAGCACTGAAACAACGACACCTACTGACAGCGCTGGGATTAACACGGCGTAGACGAATTATAGCTCCACAGTACCCCCTACCGGAACAAAGGGTGTTCTGTTTAGCAAAGTTAATACTGTAAGAATGCCCAACCAACTTGTGACATAAAGAGGGACACCTAGGGAATCATCGAAGGTACTGCAAGAAGATGGGGCTATTTGGTTAATAAAATCATCGTT